CTGTGATCTCATAAGTAAAGGGTCCTTGTTGCTCTCTGAGCTTGGTTGCTTTCTTACAGGCATTTCATTACCCAAACTAAGTAACAGTCTGCAAGAAAACAATTAGAGAGCAACAAGGACCCCTCATTTCAATCCTGAGCTACTAATATTTTCCTTTATTGATCTTGTAAGTGCTTTTGAAATGTGTAACCATTTCATTTGCTCAAACTGTTAGTGAATGGAGCTAATGTCCCTGATTGTTTTGGTCCTTCTGAAATAAAATTTCTGTTCTAGCAGAAATTTATGGCTTAGATTAGTTTAAAGTGAACTTCAGATGTGTTACTAGCAAAGCTTAGTTTCAGATGGAACAAAAAACCAACAAAAGAAAACAATTCTGTTCAACAGATAGCTGGAGAGTTAACTTAATCTTAATCAATTGAAGGTAACTGATTTCAAATCAGATTTACCTTTTTTTTCCATGATCACATGGACCTGTGACCTACCAGTTTTTCTCCATGTTCATATCAATTACTTTTTGGAGTATGTCACTGGAATTCCCATTCAAATACCAAGCAAAGCCCTCAACCAGGAACAAGTTGATTAGGTTAATAGGCAGTAATAGGCATTTACTGTACATTTACTAACAATCAGCAATGTTTGAGTTTCAGTATATGCTCCTGTGCTAAGGCAGGGTCTTATTGACTGAACCAATGGATGAAGAAGAAGTGAGATTTTTAAAAAATATGGTAGTCATAAAGATTATCATCAGGATATAGAATTGTGCAAATAAAACCTTTCATCCCCAAAATAAAAAAAATATTATTTAACACAAAAATTTCAACACATAAGTTTCTTCTGTAATTTACACTTCCACATTGCTAATAACATTTTCTTCTGAAATATTTCTGAGTCTCACGTTTCTGAAATTCCTGGATTTTGGGATAATAAATATGACATTCCCAAAATGATCTTTAACGCCTCTTGATTTTTTAAATAAATAAACTACTTCAAAAAAGTATACCTGTCATGTAAATGGATGACTGATTAAATTTAGATAAACAGATTTTTAAAATGTAGCAAGACTGTGATTTAAATGCCATTAATAGCTGGTAGACTGATAGGGATATGGAAGACTACATGAACCACTAAGAAGCAAAATTTAATAATGGTGATAGATTTGGGTTTGTTTGTGTTATTGTTATTCTTCTAAAAATGAGAACATACATTTTGTTTATTGATGTAAACATACACTAGCTCCAAATTGCAAATGCATAGGGTTGTGAAGTATACAAATGCTATTATAAATAATTGGAAAATAAATATTTATATTTATTTAATAAAAAATAATATGTTTAAGAAAAAAGACTCAGGTTTAACAATGACAGCATGAGTTTTAAAAGAACTATAGCTGTTGCTGTTCATTTTTTCTCTTTAGTGATATAATTTAATTATCATATAGGCACAAACATTTGTTCCAGGGCTGGATGCTTCACATCTGTTAGCAAAGATTTGATTAGGGCTACACAAATGCACCAGATTAGAGCATCTCGTTGGTGAAATTCAAACCACCTGGATATTTTAACAACATCAATAAGAAGAATTCTCTTCTTCCAAATCAGTAAATCCAAGTTATATTAAAAAGAATTAATTAATGAGTTCCAGAGAGGCAAAACAAACATTTGACAATGAATCATATTATCAAAGTGTTTGTGTGAGATCCTTCTCAGCTTATGTTTAGATGTCAAATTATATTACCAAAACTAAACAATCCACTTGACTGATTTCTTAATGCAATAAATGTCAGTGTTATATATACTTATTTTGGAAATTATATGATAAACAGTGGCAGAAAAATTTCACTACAGCAATCCTTAAAACAGTGGGTGATAACACTGCATGAGAATCCAAGTATTGCTTTTTATTTTTCTGCCTTGTTTTAACTTTCATACAGCTACTTAAAACACAGGAATTTCTTACCTAAACTTTCATACTTTTGAGATGAATTTTCTTTCCAACATTACAGTTGCATGTATAGAATTACAAATAGTGGCACTGCAAAAGTAGAGAAATAGTGGCAATTCCTCTCTGCTGTTCAGCTTCCATAAACAGATGTCATCAGTCAGGCAGCCAAACACCCAATCACTTTTGAATCCTTTTGAAGCTGCTTGTTCTGCTATTCAGTGTCTAATATCATCTATTTATGAAATCTTCCAATTTACTTCACTGAAATATAGCCGATGCAGGAGAAGCTGAGATGTTTTAAGGATGGATTTAAACCTTGTTTGCAATACTATTCTCTGTAATTCTGTGTATGTAACTATAGTGTTGAAAGTGTCATCCATTTTATCATCAAGGAAACCTGCTACAAAGTTTTCAGTTCACCTGAAAAGTTTAACCTTATGTGTCCAAGTTATAGTCAGAATTAGTAGAAGGTGGTCTGATCATTAGCATTATGGAAAGAATGACTTAGCTTTAATAGTCACTTTTAAGCAGGATGGCTTGTGACCCTTAAAATCATATATATATACTTGTATCTTGCTTTTTACTGTGGAAACTGACTCATAGAAGGTATGGTTTTTATGGGTAGAAATATATAAATTATGTATGTATCTTGGATTATTAAAAGATGACAGTATTATAACGACATTAATTTCGGTATATCATCCTTAAGCAATTATGCAAAACTGCAAAGTTGTACAAATTAAGACTTTGAACTGCAGTGGATTTATGTTGTGAAGACTCTACTCATGCTCCTTCTTCCCAGCAGACAGTGCCCAGGGGTTGAGGAGTGAGGACATAAAAAAAGGCAAGATGACACATGCCACAATTTCCTTTCTGCGGGTTTTTTTTTAACCTTCTTCCATAGCACATACCTAAAAAAAAAATGATATTATAGTTTTTTATTTCATATATGAAAAGACTTTCAAGTTTAAGTTGAAGTCATCAAATAGAGGTGGCAATGTGTGAATGTGTGTGTAGTATAGGCATACCTAATACTGTATATGGTTCCATGGTTGACAGATTATCACTTGGAAGTTCACTGTGTATAAATAATTTTCAGGTCTATACTGAGTAGCATAGATAAAATTTCCATTTATTCTATGGATTGAAAATAAGGTAGAACCAAATAGAGTAATAGGAATTTGTGTAGATTTAATCTGATGCAAAGTTTAGCATCTTTATTATTAGAAGAAACCAGCAAATCCTAAAATAGTATCATTGGATAGTAATAAACATGAAAAAAGTTTTCTGATTCAAATTATTAAAATAATTAACACTGTGAAAATAGCATAAATTAGACAAGTATCATTATTCGATTGTAAACGAATTATAAACTGGGGCATTGATTAAGTACAAAAAATAAGGATCATTTCTCATTTGCTATCCTGAAGCACTATGAAAACTGTATCATTTATGATAGATGTTCAGAATACGTTATCAGAATAAGCATGCTTCAGTAGATCTCTGTATATTGTGATGTTTAATTCTTATAACATTTAACGTATTAAAACAGCTTTTGATGATTTTAAAGTGATCTTTCATACGGCTTATTATTAACCAATTTACTTGGCTAACCTAAGTGAGAGTAATATATTAGATAGTTCCATCTGTCAACTGATGAAATACCAAGCTGTCAAGCACCACAAGAATAAGCATGCTTAAAAGCTTTCTCAGGCAATATAATTAATCTATTTAATTTTTAACATAATAATTAGAACAAATGAAATTATGCATGGTTATATTTGTTTAAAGAATTGTCCAAAGCAGCTTTGTTAGAATTTCAGAAAATGATATTCCTAAGGATGTGTAAGATGCACACCTTAACTGTCAATACTATGTTTTGACTACAGATAACTAGAACCAAGTGTATTCTCTCTCTGCAGTTTGCAGAGACTTAGAAATGTCGTGGCCCCCAGCAGATTACAATCTCTGATTAATCCTGCTCTGACTGTTGTGATGCATTAAGGTTTTATGCAGTAAACTCTACTGATAGAATGAATTTCCCTTTTCAGCTTTTCATATCTCCCCTACCCCATCTTTCTCAGGAAAGGAGAAGAAACTGTAGCCTTTAGGACTGTAACTGCCCAGCTGCAATATCACTAGTGATAAAATAATAAATTTTATAGACTTAATCACAACCCATCAGAATTTTTTAAATAAAAGCAAGAAACCATGCCGATCCCTATACAAAGGTACAAAACATCTGATCAATAACTATTCCATATGTTCAGAAAATCCATAAAAGCAGTTCATGGTCCATGGACAGTAGACAACACCTAAAACATTTGTATCCTATTTTTATCTTAGGGACAAAGTCAGAGAATCCAATGGACAAGGAAAGAGCATTTGCACACTTACTGGCATTCTATCCAATGCTGCAGTAAAAGAGTGATGTTTGTACAGTTAATAATGATAAAAATGATCAGTAATCTCATCATAGACAATGATGTCATTAAGAGCACATCACATAGGGCACTGGCTTTCCCACTGTTGCTCTAGGGAGGGTGCCTGTAACAGCAATGGAAGACAAACCAATGTATTTGTTGCTTGAAAGGTGGGAAAGAAAGAAGTTTTATCTATCCTTTCATGTCAGATTCCTTTGCCTATTGTGGTAGGCAGGAAACTGTGTGCTTGAATTGCTGTTGGGAGGTTTAAGGATTCAGTCTTTAGGCATTAGTTTGAACTGTATTCTGGAAGTATCAATCCTGCATGGAAGAATCAGGCATATTGCTGAAGTCTTGCTCTCCCTTTGTCTTATCTAGTGGTTGTTTTATTTTGTAAGAAAATTCCCAACGAAAAATACTATTAGATACTGAAAGACTGAAAGGTTTTCCCTCTGGTCCGTTGTTTGAGTGGGAAAAATACTCAAATGTGATTGGCTGAACCCCCTGACAGCTCCCTATATAAGGGCAAGCTGTCAGAGAGTGTTAAGGGTGTTCAAGGATCATGCCCAATAACTCCAACATGCAGGTATTCTTTAAATCAATAGTCTTTATTTACAAGGCATCTTATCATTGCAGGTACAGATCTGGAACTACACCAGGACCGCATGGCTGGACCTTAAGTACCCCCTGGGCGTGGCTAAGGTAAGGAGGGGTCATTGGGTTAGGGTGGACCTTGGTTGGCCTGTCCAGCCCCCCTGCCCCTAGCCCTGGATCTGAGGCAAGGCATTTATCCCTGACAGAGAGGCAAGCTGCTGGATTGTACATAGTTGCTGAATAAAGAGCTGTTGTCTGAAGACTGTCTCCAGTCTCTTCAATCACCCAACACTGGCAACAAAGGTGGGATTCTGAAGAAGAACTGAGGCAAAAATAGCTGACAACTATACATCCAGCCAGGTGGTCGGAAAGAACGGCGGCCATCTTGCACATCAAATTCAAAGTCAAAACACAGCGGCAAGCATGTCTGCGTTCTACCCACCTACACCTTTCAATCCAGCAAAGGAGAAATGGGACACTTATATGACCCAATTCGCATGCTTCATGGAAGCCAATGATCTCCTCAGGTTATTGGATAACCGAAAAAGGGCACTCTTCCTTAGTCATTGTGGCCACGGCATGTTTGACACAGCAGAATACCTGTCCGAACCAATTCCAGTGCAGTCTATACCATGGCAAGTACTTCAGAATGCCCTGAAGACTCACTACACTCTGGCACCATCCAAAATTGTGAGACACTATGAATTCAGGCACCGATTACAGATGGATGGCAAGTCCATCAACCAATATACTGTATAGCGGTGCTTCGAAAAGCCGCCGCTCATTGTGAGTTTAGAGACTTTGATGATATTTTGTTAGACCAGCACATTTGTGGCATGCAAGACTTCCGCCTGCAACACAGGCTTCTAGCTAAAACGAACCTGACTCTGCAGGCTGCATTAGATGAAGCAAGAGCCATGGAGTCGTCTAACAAAGCGGCTGAATCACACCAGAAACTCACTTCGGCCCCACAAGCAATAAAGCTTACGGCCACCATGCATAAGGACCATTACCAGGGCAAGGACTTCAAGGGAAGCGAGGACAAGGTCTATTGCACAGAGAGGAAGAAATCCACACAGCTAGAAAGCAGGCGGCAACCATGTGCCAGCTGCGGGGGTCAGCACCCAAAGAATTTTCTGCCGCTACAGAGATGCCATCTGCCGGCGATGTGACCGGAAAGGGCACCTAGTGAAAGTATGCAGGGCGAACTTGCCTGCCAATCGCCAAGCCGCCCCGGAGGTTGTCCTACCCGAGGCTCCAAAACCAGTTAAATGGCACGGTTGGAAACCAAGGTGCGAAAACACCAACTCAGGGGCGCCTGAAGCCAACCAGACTACATGTGACGGTACAAATCAAGGGGTCCCCCTGTGAGATGGAAATCGACACCGGGTCATCGGTGAACATCATCTCCTGGCAAGCCCTGAAAAAAGCAGTCCCGAAAATCAAAAAGAATCAGCTGGATCGCCAGCAGCTACGACTCAGAGACTATCAAGGGAATTGCATTCCTGTGTTAGGCTGCGGAACCTTCACCGTGAAATTCAACAAGTTCCATGGAGACCTCCCGACCCTGCTCAAGTTAGACTGGTTTGAATCCCTCAGGGTGGGGGTAACAGGCATCAATGCAATTGCCAGCACTTGTTCAGACGACTTGATTCAAGAATTCCAGGATGTCTTTAGCCTGGAGCTTGGTAAGTATGTGGGCACCCCTATATCCTTTAGATTAAACCCCAATATTGTGTCTATACGCATGAAGCCCCGGAAGGTTCCCCTTGCGTTAAAACCTAAGATCAACCTAGAATTGTACAAACTAATCAGTCGAACCCAGTGTGGTTACAGGGAGAAGCCCGGCCAAGATCCTAATAGGCTGCCGGCTCAGATCGGTTCTAGACCGGGTTCACTCAAACTATGCAGCCGAAACAATTCAAGAGACAAAAAATAGCACCCAGGCCTTTAGCATTGGGCACCTGGTACACACCAAAAACTTTGCCGAAGGAACCCTATGACTACCAGGCAAGATAGAGAAAATAACCAGGCCCCAGTCATATTTAGTTAGACTAAACGGCGGGCATCAATGGAAGCAGCACATAGACCAACTACGTAGTCACCTCAGCCCAAATACTGACACCCCAGAATCAGACCAAAAAGAGCTAAACTCTAACCCCTCCTTGACAGACTCAAGGAGAGGTTGATGGAGCCAGAGTACGCACCTGAAGAACCGGGAATCCAGCAACATTCATGCCATGAACCGGTTCCAGTAGAATCCGAGGCCCCACCCTGAAAGTTCCAGAACCTCCCATGGGTGGACCAGAGGCAGCAGCAGACACAACCTTTCAGGCCGCTGCCGCCACACCAACTGAGTTGCGCAGGTCTGATAGGACCTGTAAACGCCCTGCCTATCTGTGTGACTACGTATGCAGAGTGGATTGCTTCAACTAAGAGGGGAGGGGTGTCGATACTGAAAAATTGAAATGTTTTCCTCTGGTCTGTTGTTTGAGTGGGAAAAATACTCAAATGTGATTGGTTGAACTCCCTGACAGCTCCCTATATAAGGGCAAGCTGTCAGAGAGGCAAGCTGCTGGATTGTACATAGTTGCTGAATAAAGAGCTGTTGTCTGAAGCCAGTCTCCAGTCTCTTTAATCACCCAACTTAACAAATACAGTAAGAGCAGTAAGAAGGCTGTGATTTCTTTGGCTGCCTAATTAACCATCATGTCATGTCTATCTCTAAAATCTACATATGTATTTACAGTTATCAATATAACTCACTTCAAAGGACTTTGCATCCCACTAGGTAAAATCATACTAAATGGTTCTTTTTTTCATCCTTGGGCATCTTTTTGGTGAAAATCTACAATGTAGTTTTCCAGCTATGCACAACTTTCAAACCTCCTTCTAACTTTTCTATGGAAAAAATATTGGCAGCATGGGTGGTGCCACTCTGTGTTTACATGCCTGTTTAAAGTGTCATATTAAAATATTATAATTTATGTTCTTTAAGAAATCCACATCATGTCATATACATAAGCCTAAGAAACACTAGGCATTGTAAATTAATATAACTGGGCAAATGATTACCTACTATTTTAAAATCCACATTAAAAGGGAGATATACTGAGAAGGAAGTAAGAACCTTGCCTTCTTGTACAAGAGAAACTTATGCAATAATAATATAACTAGAAATTAATCAACACAATGGGGTAAAAAAAGGGACATATTGAAAGAAAAAGCTGGGCAAATATTGAGACAGGAAAGGACTTGTGTGTGTGTGTGTGTGTTTTACACACAAGAGAGAAGGCACACAGAGAAGAATTAGCATAAGGGAGCAGAGGTTTAGTAAGATTAATACTTGAGCAGAAAGATCAAAGAGGAAAATGGAAAATATAATGAAGGCAGATAAAAAAAGACAAAACCATGAGGAGACTTAAAGGTTAAAGACGTTTAAACTTATAAACAATGGAGGAAATCAGTGGAGAGAAATATAGCATGATTGAAGTACAGAGTGTATAATTTTTAACAAGTAAAAGGATTGAAGCAGACGATGTGAAAATAAGAGACACAGAGACCAAAAGACAAAATTACATATATTTTTGAATGTTACAAATGTGGATTCCAACAAAACACTGCAGCAGCGTGAAATGGTTTTATTTACTGATCTATTTGTCCATCCATCCATCTGTCCATCCATCTACCCCTTATTTTGTGTCCCCATTTCATTTCTCAATCCATCTGGCTAGCCATATTCGCCATCCAATACTTTTTTCACAGCCACTAGGTACATGCTAGCCTCTTTCGGCTATTTTGGGGTACCCTAAAGTTTATTTTTGCAAGCCTCAAGATGTTTCCAAACTCTTTTCCAAGTGCATATGACACTCCAACCACATCAAGATTCACACTCACCTCTCAACTAGAAAATCAGAGGAAACATAGATAGACCTTTGCTGAAATCCTAATTGATTATGCACATTTTCAGTCAAGACAGATTGGTCCAGAATGTGGCGGTTTCTGCTGCACCAGCTTTCACATACTGAAAATCTGGTTGAGTAAAATGAGGACCCAGATTGTTGGGGGCAATGTGCTGATTCTGTAAACCACTTAGAAAGGGCTGTAAAGCACTGTGAAGCGGTATATAAGTCTAAGTGCTATTGCTATTGCTATCCTCTTTAACAGAGTGAATCAAGAGTATTGGTTAGAAAGTCAGAATAGATTTGGACAGAACAGAGTCAAATAGCAATAGCACCAACAATAGTACTTAGACTTACCTACCGCACCATAGTGCTTTACAGCACTCTCTACATTAGGGATGTCAAACTGGTGACCCATGGGCTGGATGTGTCACATGCAGGCCACGCCCACCTTAACTCTGTGAAAAGGAGAAATGTCACAATACATAACATGATGGCAATGTGACGCCACGAGTTTGACACTGGTGGTCTACATGGTTTACAGACATCAGGATATTGGCCCCCACAATCTGGGTCCTTATTTTACCAACTTCGGAAGGATGGAAGGCTATGTCAACTTTGAGCCGGTCAGGACTGAACTCAGTGGGCAGAGTTATCCAGCAATACTGCATTCTAACCACAGCTCCTTGGTGACTTTGAAAAGATGGTCAGAGTTCCAAGTTCATCTTGGCCCGTTTCAACTTAATTTCACTCGTTCATTTATTTTAAAGATAAAAATAAGATGGCTGGAAGAGATATTAGTTTATTGTGCATCGATTTATTATTATCCTTAAAAGAAAAAAGATGATACAGTACAAAAACAAACAAACAAACAAACAAACAAACAAACAAACAAACAAACAAGTAAAAGGCTCCATAGAAAGCATATTAAAGTGTACTCAGGTGGAAAGTGCTGGGGGTGTATGTGTGTGGGAAGGACTGAAAGAAGACAAGTTTAATTTATACCAGCTCTTTTATGGATGTAAAGTTGAACCACCACTAGGGAAATGGGGGATGGCATGATCTTTAATTTTCAGTTTTACATCTGTACCAAGGCTCCATTATCCTTCAAATTTCATTGCTATAATTTGTGCTATAGTTCTGCAATGAAAAATTGAACATACACATACTGTGCATGAGGAACACTGTTCATAGAATTCCTATCCCG